GAGAGGCTGGGATCGACATAACAGTATCATCTACATCGCCAACGCAGAACCGAGTGGCGCTATCGGCGCCATCCTTGGTCCCAATGGTTGACATCTCTGTGCGTCTACAGGGACCGTCTAACCCCAGGCCTATCGAGGTCGCTTCCGACTCTACCTCTCTGACGAAGAGAAATATCGCTTCTTCACTTCAAGATGCCGTCGGTGACACAGAACGGAAGCGCCAACGTCTTGCCATTGGGCACTCCTCGTTGTCTAAGAGCCCCTTACCCCCACCGTACCGCCCCAATTACGTGCTTCACGAAGTTAGAGTCAAGCGAGCGGCGCCTAAGGTTCGCGAGAGTATCGAGACCTCACCGAGTGCTACGGCTACCATTAGCACCAGTCCCATGAGCAAGTTCGCCGGGACGGTCTCGCCCCGGGTCAGCCGAGACTCTTCAAGCGGTGAAAACGAGTTCGTGTCACCTTCATGGCCTGCACGTGTCGTGTACTTACACGACTATTACAATCCAGCCTCGATAAGGTTGCCATTCGTCTTTCACTACGGCGACTGTGGATGCTCGGATCCTTGCCGAATCGACACATGCCGCAATGCGCAGATGAATGTGTTTTGCACGGACAAATGCTGTGTCTGGGAGGAACTTTGCGCGAATCGCCCACGCGAGTCTGCCAAAGTTGCAGTCAAGCAAGATTTAGAATCGGGGAAATACGCAGTGGTTGCAACGGCAGATCTCAAGAGAGGGGAAGTGCTTGGTGAGTACTTAGGGCGTCTTCGCTACATGGAAACGGATCGAGCTAAACGACCAAGGAACCAAGGATACATGCTTACGCTCCGCACGGCAACCGAAGGTGCACGTTCACAGAGAGTCGGCATCGATGCTCACCAGCTCGGTGGTCGCATGCGTTTTGCGAACCACGCGTGCGACGCAAACGCGGAATTTTTTGAGTTCGCTAACGGATCTCGGCACACAGTGGTTGTCGTGACTACGGGGGATATTGGCGCAGGATCGGAGGTCACCGTGAATTACGGAACCGATGTATGGTTTGTGTGCCGCTGCAAGTACCGGAAGTGCATTCACGCATCCATCCAGGACCAAGAGGATCCGTAGCTGTGCTCGATTTCAGACCGCGGGACCGCCCAGCTTCCCTCCCAGTTTCTTCTGTTTCGACGGAGCACGGTGCTCTTCCAATTTCAAATGTTCGCGGTACCGTACAATTGTGGGTGGGCCGCCAATGCGGCTGCGTAGGCCGCATCAGCGCTACCAGGTAGTTCTAAATTCAACTTGAATTTGTGGATCTTCGCTGTTGATGTGGCTCATTTCCTGTTATACTCGCTACCGCCCACTGCTGCGCTTCAGATGTTCGTGTTCTCATGGTTTCTAATGTTCCCAGTTGTGGTACTAACCTTTACTTGTAGACTGCGATGGGCAAGCCCACAGGATCTTCTAACTACTCGGTTGCTGAGATGAACCACATGCTGGATATAGTCCAGCGCATTCTACCGCAAGGCAAAGATCACTGGGACTAGGTAACCGCACGCTACAACGCAACACGGTCGAATCATTGGCCTGAACGAGACATTGAGAGTCTTCGCCGTAAATTCAAGGCGCTGTACGGAATGAAGAAGCCTTCGGGTAACGCTAACATCCCTGGTCATGTCCGCCTGGCCAAAGACGTCAAGAAGCTTATCGACGAGGCCAGCTCCGTTTTTCTTGCCAGTGACAATGAAGACGAGATTGGGGAAGGCGATGGTGGCGCTGTCGATCGGTGTGAAGATGGCAACCATACGAGTCAACTCCGAGGTGAGAGCGATGAGTCCGACATCGAGAACGAGGACTTCAACCTGGTGGACCTTCCGGTTAACGAGTACGTGGGTAGCGCTGATTCTCTCCTGGTTGAAGAAGCCGGAGATGCCGCAGAAACAGAGAAGACTCCGTCCAAACTGGACAGGTTGACGGCTACGAATCAAGTGGTGCGGTTCCTCCATTCATGAGATCTGGTAGTGATATTCCGTGCAGTGCAGATTTGACGGGGTTAGAGTTGGAGTTGGCCGAAGCAGCCAGTGCGGTGGCTGCCACACCTTCGTTTTCAGCCAGCACCGGTGTCGCGGAGAGTGGCGAAGTGACACTCAGACGCAGCCGTCGTAATAAGGCGTCCCTAGTCGCATCTGTTCCGACCCCAAAACGCTCATTCAAGTCACGGAAACCTGCTAAGACGAGTGAGTCAGCGAGGCCGCAAGCCCGTATGTCAGCCGAAGTTCGCGAGAAGCTACAATATCCAGACCTTGCTGAGAGCTCGGATCGCTTAGGCGGTGTGAACTTAGCGGCGATGCGAAACGCATCCAACAGCCGCACGTACGAGGAGTTTGAGGAAGCGAGTTATTCGAAGCAAAAGCGGATCAAAGCTGAGAAGGCCGCCTCAGATCTGAAACGGAAATTAGACCGCGCCGCGCAGAGTTCCGCCGATAGTGGAAATGAGTTGGTAAAGACGATTATGGTGTTGCGTGCAGACGCTGACAGGGAGGACCGTGCCCGGATGGAAGCTGCAGAGTCGAAACGAGCCGCTGAGCGCGATGCACGCGAGGAACGGCGCCGCGAAGAGCGCCGGGAAGAGCGAGAAGCGGCCGAAGAACGTCGCCGCGAGGAGCGGCGTGAAGAGCGAGAGGCGGCTGAAGAACGACGCCGTGTGGATCGGGAGGAGTCTCGAGCGCACATGCGAGAGATGCTGATGATGTTATCTGCTATACAGAACGGAAAAATTCCTGCTGTAGACATCTGAAGCGTTCACAACGAGCCGTGTTACAGACACAGCAATTCACTCGAATTCTTCGGCACAGCAAGATGGAAACCCGCGACGAGAGAATAACTGCTTTGATTTGGTTAGTTAAGCAACATGGTACATTTTTCCACTTTGTTCAACTTAACTCTTTCAACACAGCAATGTAGCAGCTTATAATGCTAATCCAGCTGAGAGAAGATTGTTCGAATTTGGCTGATCCCAGTAGTGCGAACTCGATAGTTTGCCAATCGAAACATGTTCGATAACTGCAATCTGCGTCTTTCAGGGTCGTACGGCAGGGGAAGAAGAAGGCGATGATATACCTTCTCAATGCTCCCCATTCCCCATTCAGCTGCTTGACGGACTGACGTGATCGCATTGTTCAGGCGGCGGGCGGAGCTTCGAACAGAAGGAAGTAATCGGTCGAGATCGCCATCCTTCAAGGGGGTGAGAATTCT